TCATAGATAATTAATTCATTTGAGCATCGAACATTTTATCTAGCACCCATGGACCTCGAGTATATACATGCCATTCAACTTTCATCTCTTTCAAAGGCACTATTGCTAAAGTGCATCAAGAGCCACCGCAGGGCGGGGGCCACACTCGACTTTTTTCTTTTTCTAAAAGCAAACAAAGAAACGTTTGAACAAATGTTTCCTTTTTATAATTTTAATAGGTCTGTGTTGTCACATTAGTTTTGTCAAAGTATGAATCCTTTCCATAAATAATTGACAATAGTCAGAAAATTTTATTAAAATTCAGAATAAATATTTTCTGACTACATGTATATATGTATGATCACAGAACGATGTGATAAAACATCATTATGGTAAGGTGTTTTTGTGCACATTCATTTTTGAGTATGTAATGAAAGCCTGGCGATTTGCCGCAATCTTTTCGCGCGGTTTTATTTATGACATGATCTTGGTAACAGCCACACGCTGTTACTGCATTAATCCTAGTGCATCGGCGTGGATAAAAACTATCACATTATCCGAATTCGGTTATAAGTATGATGCACCATGCGTTTTCAGACACAAAACAAACAACAAACGAATGTTCAAGAACATCTATTGAACATAGATAAAAAGATAAAATTTGTAGATGCTGGGTTTGCAAATTATATGAGACTAAATATACAGGTATGTTTACTAAATCTAAAACGCCATAAGAAGAAACCTATCTATACAAATAATTATAATACCGCTGAAAAAACACATGTAAAATTGTCTTTTCAGTTCGATTATGTTTCACTTTTAGTCTAGACTTGTATGTATGTCTTTTTACGTCAAAATATGATACCGTTATTTCGAAATAGTTTCAATCAACGTTGTAAGGATTTAGCACAACAGAGCAGGTATTGTCACTGAGGAAAACTCCCGATGGTGACGAGAAATCTTTGACACTCTTACGTTACCCGGATACTGCGTGAGATGATAAAGAAAAACAAAATATACTAGCGCTACTTGGCACTTGTGAATACGAAAGTCTCCTTTTGATAATAAACTTTGAAGTTCTTGTATAAGTTGTCTAGCGATTTCAGCATTTGTACCGGTTTCAAGGAATTCAACAGTGTCTAGTGAGTTAATAATACTGGATATAAATACATACCAACCTACAAGTTTGGACAAAAATGTCGTTTGTAAGATGTTAACTGTATTTGAACTTTGGCGGTTTTAAAACTTTATTTACATTACTTGGAGGTCAAGACCGAAGTGACAACATTGGTTGGAGTCTGACTTTTATAAGGTTCGATGTTTGAAATCCACCAATGAAACACCAGAAATCCGGAAATCCTCCAATGGACAGACGGCCGAATCTGAATCTGAAATCTTGGATTTCAACATTCGGAACTGCCTCGGCCATTATCTACAATATTGACATCGGAAACAATACGGATTGAAAGTAGTTATACCACGTGGTTTACTGATGTAAACAAAAACAGAGATAATGTAAAACGAATGTATATATTTGACATCTAACGCCTGTATTTCGGTACAATCTTTTTGCTTGAAATATTGTCTGACAACAATTTGTACTTTTAAATATGCCCACTGATGTTCAATTTTAAACAAATCTGACGAAATGTCAACAGGTTGGTTTTTGTACTTTTCGGTTTCTACAACCATAATAATAAATATATAAATAATTCATTTTTTTTGCTTTGTGTACCTATGATATCACTTATTTTAGGTGAAACCTTTACTACATATATTGGAAATAAACTTTTTAAACAACTCCCAGCATTAAATTACTATTTGTTTACATGTTTAGTTTCTTAATTAATTAGCGTAGGTTAGACCGAAATACCGCATCCGTTCTGTGTATTCATACTATTGTGTTCGAGGTCCTTATCCGAAGACTGACGGAAAGGGCCGAGTAGTTGCGATTGGGATTTCAATGGCGGCCATATTGAAATCTTAAATGAAATCTACTTACAAAAATCGTTAGTTTACAAAAACATGTAGTGAAAACTTAAGGATTACTGACCTTAATCAATCATAAACTTAAAATAAATTACGTTCTTGAGTTGAATTTAACTGAAATTGATATATACCATAAGAAATATACAATATAAAATATGAAGTGACAGATTTCAAAGATTTCTGTCATTGGACGTCTGCTACTAGGAAAATGTAAAGAGAAAATCAGTTTCCTGCTATAAAACATTTCTATTAGCTTAAATTGCAAAGTCAATAAGTGTCAATACAGTGTTCCTTCAGATCAATCAGGCAAGTGAATCTTTATCTTGTAGAAGTCAATAATATATGAAGCTATAGGATTTCACCATGTCACTTGGATTTCATAAGTTCTGTTGCAAGTACATTTCAGATTTATGCTAGAATGTCAGATTCTTATACTAGGAACTAGGATAAAGTCAAAGGATGCCATGCTTAAGAATACGTGGATGTTTATAGACAGTCACTCGTTTTTCTTAAAAAATTATCAATTTTAGTAGCCCCTTTGTTTGCAGTAGCGTTATCATGCAAAAAATACAAGGCTTTGATACCAGTCGAAGGAGAACTTTATTAAGTGTTTTTCAATTTTTCTAAAGACGATATCTCTATAATAACGCTTTAATGTGAGTGAACGGAAACTAGAAACAGGGATTTTGGAGACCCGGGTATTGAATAAAATAACGTACATACCTTTGACACTTCGCAGTCGCTTTGAAACGCATGGTCGAAGAACATTTTTGGTGGCCGATATCTTATTGTTCCACATGCGAACTGGCGAAAATAGTGAAACTAGCTTTCATCACAGTCACAATATTAGAAAACTGGCGACTGTCATATCTATGAAACATTTTCAATAGCTTTCGAGCTTTTTCAGATTTTAGGATATGGGATAACCATCGCCTTACCTTAAGGTGAATATGTAAAATCCTTTTCATGACATGAGTTGACCCGTTTGAAGCCTGTGAAATTGGCTATATTGGTAAATGAAAATGTAACATAATTGTCAACGACAAGCTTGACTTCATTTAAGGTTCGATCAGTAACTATGGAGCGTTATCTACTTACCCATAGGCATCTTTATTTGACTTCTGCATTTTTAAAAATTATTATATGTCTCGAAACAGCTGCACACGATACGTCATTGTTGCAATAAATATCACAATTATAATTACAAACCCTTATAGCAGATTGGTTTTTAGTTTTTTAGGATTGATATTTCAGCACTTTTAACTCAGTGTTTATTAGTAACATTATTTAACCATGAAGTAACTCTTGTAAGGCATTTTAAAAATGTTTAATAAAATTCTTTATCGGTTGGCTGCCAATCATGATTTTGTATGATTTCAAAGCAAATGATTTGAATCAT